CAGCTGAACCAAAGAGTGAGAGAAGGCAGAAAGCTTATATCTCTAGTTCTTTAATATATTTTAAAAAACGACTTAATGGCCTAAAAGAAAGGGTAAAGTTTGCAGTGTAGACTTAAGGTAATAATTCTCTTTTTAAGAGCTAAATAACTGAAGGGTATTATAAATAAAATTCGTTATCTAAGAACCCTATCAAGACCTCACAAAGAACACAGTAGAGAAAGCTATAGTGACTTGGCAAAGCAGATTTCACTTTTGCTTAAGGGTGCATTGCATGGTCAGATCCAGTTTAAAAGACTGCCCAAAGAGAAGAAACTCTAAAGAACTCAGCTGCCCCAGGCCATCAGGTTCAGGACCGCTTTAGGTGTGGTGTGAGGTGTGGTGGGATTAGAATATCTTGTCATAAAGCCAAGTTCTAAGTTTTGCTGGGTTTGAAAGAGAAGACTAATACTTAATGTCTTTTACAGGGGAGATGCCTTTATATGTGAAACCAGTACAGTTCCCTTTGCCTAAGCTATTCGTGTAGCATAAATCAGAGGCTATAGCACTGACAGTATAGGAAACATTCAGACTTTAGGTTAAGAATAACATGTTGTAGTTCTCTCAGGCTGTTCTGTTGGAGGCAAGAGACTGGCTTAGGCCTTCTTGGGAGTCAGCTCTTTTCAAATGCACCACAGAAAATGCTGTTGTAGCTGACTCAGGTAGCAGACTATGAATGAGTCTATGAGATTTTTAAGTGGGGTATTTGCTAGAGAAATAGAAGCAAAGGAATCCGAAGTGCTTAGAAGGGTAGATCACACAGGTGACAGGTGAGAAATTCACCAGTAATGTGTCAAGATGGATCTCACCAGGAGTGCCCAGAGACTTCGGGACTGACTGAGACATAGCTGTCACATGGTCATCATTAGGAGCCTGAGGAGTTCTAAGCCATAGAGAACCCTGCTTAAGCCAAACCAGCATTCCTGGCTTTAGTTGCTAAAGGGAATTTTTAGAATAGCTAGTATAATAAAGACAATTTTAATGTAGACTTAGGAGAGTTAAGGACAAACAAGTTGCTCAAGGGAAGAGAAAATGAAATATATCCAAGCTTCCCAGAAAAGTAGTCTTTCTTAAAACAGGCTCTAATCTATTTGCATAGAGAGCTTGGCACTAGGAGATAAAGATCTAAGGTAAGGTCAGAGAAATAAAAGACTAGTCTTAGAATTTACCTATAGTTCTGATTCAATCTCTAAAAATATTAAATTAGTTTTAATTTTAATATTTTCCTTTATTCACATGTTATTTTTCTTAGAGCTCTTATTTTTGTAAATTGCCAATTTTATCCTCTTACTTTTTAATTAAAACAGACTGCCCATGTGATGGTTTCAAATATTATTGCCTAGGACTTTTAGTTAAGTGCACAAAAAAATAATAATCCCAACTTTGGAGCATTAAATATTTCCCACTGAGGGGCCAAGATATCTTTGGTTAGATCTCCCCATTTTTCCAAATATTTGCAAGTTCAAAGTTCATAATTATCATACAGAAAGCCAGTCATAGTGTCAGGTGGCAGTTTGTCTTCAAACACTTCCTCCCTTTTAGAATAAAATGTTTTCCATTTTACTAACTAATTTACTTATTTTCTCCTGAAAAATTGCAAGCCTTTCTGTGCCTAAGCTAAAGGCATCAAGGTTGCAATAAGCCAGGAGAAATCAAAAGGAAAAAATGCAAATTTATGTGTTAAAGGAGTTTCTGGAGACAAAGGCCAACTAAATCAAAACATACCCAAAACAAACAGAACCACCACAGACAACAAACAAAAACCAAAATGCTTTCAAAGTTCTAGAAGGCACCAATATTAAAACAAGCCAGACAATCAGAAACAAATTGCTTCTGAAGCAAACAAAAATGGATACTTTAAAGCAAATACTTTAAAAGCATACAAGCAAACAAACAAATATCTAAACAAATAAGTACCTTAAAATTGGCAGACTACCTTAAGTTGGATGTTTACATTTTCCTATACTTGTAAGTTAAAGGACCATCCTAATCAACCCTAAAACCAGTTGGAATACAAAATATCTGTTTTTCTCAAAACATTTCTCCATTTTTTAAATTAGATATGGGAGGCGTGTTCAGAGAAAAAAAATTAAGAGAAAGAAAAAAAATTACTGCTAGCAAATTTTAACAATTGGTTGGCATCAAACATGCTTTAAGAAGTTTGTCTAAAAGCAGCAAAAGACCAAACCAAATGTCAAAACCAAAATACTTTCAAAGCAAATAAATATAATAGATACCTAAAACAAACACTTCAAAAGCAAACCCAAAACAATAAAGGTATCTAATAAATAGGATCCTTAAACAACCAGCTCAGAATAAACAAATGGACCATCAACCAAACCAAGTGAGGTCTGAGAGCCCCAGAAAGAACTCACCAAGATCCACCTGCGGAGACCCCATCAGATGGCTGGACTCAATGGAGCCATAAGGGTACCTGCTCCATCCAGGTGACTCCTCTGATAAAAAGCAGTTAATTCTTGGGGCCCCACTTTGGGTGCCATAAACTGTCGACACAAAAGCATAACTCTCACCTCAAAGGGGAGCCAAATATGAGTGACCATGGCCTGGGAACACACATTAAGGTTACCCCAAATTCCATGTTCCAGCATGATAACAATTGTCTTACATTTTTATAGTAACAGAACAAAGAAAAGTCATAAATCAAGATACTTTTCAAATACATTGGTGGATACATTCAGGAGGCAGGTTGTAGCAAAGCAGGAGGGTTCTTACTATAGGTCTCAGGTGTTAGCTGATGACATTCTTAGCTTTTGGATTGGTGAGACCTGGTGGTCTGCTAAGTTAATACATTCTAAAAGGTTTTTATCTGTTAGTCACAGGATGTTAGTTCAGAAACAGTGGTGGGCAAGGAGTGGCTGTTTAAGGACCTGAAGATGGCCTGAGATAAATGGTAATTAGACTCTGGACCTACAACATTCCAAACTCTCCACATTCATTGAAGTTCTAATCAATTGATCAGCCTTGCCTGAGAAAGTCCAGTTTGAAGATGGAAGGTTTTTTTTCTGGGCACTTTGATTCACAGAGTTTCCTATTCTAGTTTCTGAGGGAAGTTTTGGGTTCTTCTTGCTGAGGACCCTTCACAAATAAGGTTGGCAGTATATTAATGATTTTTCTTGTTACTGTAACCAAGTATCTGAAAAGAAGCAATTGAAGGAGGAAGGGTTTGTTTTGGCTTGCAGTTTGAGACAGGCAACCCATGGTGGCAAGAAAGGCTTAGTGACAGCAGTGTGAGGTGGCTGGTGACACTGAATCCATAGTCAGGAAGCGGAAAGCAGACAGGAAGTGGGGCTGGGCTATAAAACGTCAAGGCAGATCCCCAGTATAACCCATTTCTCCAGTGAGGCTCTACCTTCTAAAAGAGGCTGTTCCACAGCCTTCCAGGACAGCTGGGGACAAGTGCAGGAGTCTAAGGGGTACATTTCATGTGAAAATGCCAACAGAAGGAATGTTAGAATAATCCAGGATAAGAAGGCAACATGATAAAGAAGTAGAAACGGAATCAGACCTCAACAGATGCAGATAGCTTTATTAGCTATGAGGGGCAAGCAGCCTTCCTGCAGGAATGGAGGTTGTGCATCGGGATTGGGGAGAGATGGGGAGTTCTTCTAGGGCAACAAGGTATCTTCTGCAAGGTGGTAAGTAAGGGACCAGATCTGTGAGGAAGCTGATAAGAAACCAGATGTCTTTTTCTAGGGGTTATGTGTTCTGAGATAGAGTGGGGTGGCAGGGTACATGAATGGTCAATTCATTCAGTCACTTGTCAAGCTGACTTTTCTTCAGGGAAGAAGGCATTTTGTGAGGGAGGACTTAGAGATTCCACCTGGAGCTCTCTAGTCCACCAGATTCTTAGAGAAGTTTTGGGCCCTCTTCACCCAGGTCCCTCCAGAAATAAGGTTATAGCACGGTGAGTCTGTCTATATCCAAAGACAAGAACTTCTTCATTCATTAACTTGCTTTACTATAGAGATTTTTTCACAGTCATAACTTTTATATCTGCTCATCATAGGGAATTTAGAAATTCATTAAATAGAAATTTTAAATCAGCTATAGCCATCACTAATAGACAACTTAATATTTTAGTCTAAAGGCAGTAGTGTTCTTCTTTGGAGTGCCCTGTGGGTTTATGGAGGTGAAGAAGAATACCTATTTTTCACTTCTTGATACATTGCTAACATTAATTTCCCTGCAGTTATGGACTTCTTTTAAAATGGATCAGCACTATTAAAGTTGGCATGAGAGAATGCAGAAGTGCCCACAGAGAATGCCCCAACTCCTATCTTTTGAACCATCAATATATGAAAATACTATAGTTTCTTTTCTAAAATTCATCTTTCAAAAAAAATTTTTAATTGATACGTAGCAACTGATCACATTTAAGGGCATGGGGCCATGCTTCCTACATATATACATTGATAATAAATTGATCCTTAAGTACAAAGTTACAGATAGTTAAAAGGAATAAGTTCTGGTATTCTATCACCCAGTAGGGCAAGTACAGTTAACAATATTGTATATTTCTAAACTGATGGTGGAGAGCATTTTGAATGTTCTCACCACAATGTTTTTGTTTTCATGAGTGTGTGTGTGTGTGTGTGTGTGTGTGCCTGTTCACATCTGTGTGTGCATGTGGAGGTCAGAGGTTGATGTTGACGTTAGGTGTCTTGCTCAGTCAGGTATCATGTCAATTATTGAATCAGGGTCTTTAAAATTGGAGCTCTGAGTTTGCAGATTGGCTAGTATAGAGCCCAGATGGCTCTGGGGTCCATCTCTACACTCTGGTCTCAGACTTACATAGTAAGCACTTTATCCATTGAGTCATCTCCTCAGACCCTCATTAAAAAAAAAAAAATCTAACATTCTTCTTACATATGTCCTGGAATCTTATAAATTATAGCTATTTGAGGATTCTCTATGAAAACATCACCTTCTCTCCCTCTTTAAAGGTGCTGGTCTTCAGTTGGTGACCAACATGTGGGACAGAACCTTTCCATTGGCTCAGGCTGTGACTATAAGGCCGTCATTGAACATGAGATCCTGCATGCTCTGGGATTTTTCCATGAGCAGTCCAGGACTGACCGGGATGATTATGTAAACATCTGGTGGGATGAAATTATTACAGGTGTGTATGAACCCAGCATGGTTGGTAAGAGCTTTCAATTGTCCTTATGGCTTTCTTAGAACATCCATGGGAGACCCAGGCTGACTGTGTGTGGATAGGAGCTTCAGTCTCCCCAGTGGGAGTACAGTTAGGTACTTAAAAACAAACAAATAGAAAACAAAACCAAACAGTAACAAAGATGAATACTTTTGTCTGAAATTTGCCCCTCCAATTGTGTTAATGCACCCATCCTTTTCTGGCCTTATCTTGTACCACAGTGACGATGACATACTTTTATCTTACACATTATGCAGCCAGTCACATTATTCTAACAATTTCAATATTCTTTAGTTTTGTCAGACTTCTTTAAACACTGCCTTCCTTACATGTTTGAGCCAACTAACTAAGGTGCTTTTGAGAATACCAAACCACTGTTGCATAGTTCCCCTGTATTGAAACCAATGTTATGTTTCTAAGAATACCTCGTTTTAAAAGTACAAATTAGGGCCAGGTGTGGTGGTGCACACCTTTAATCCCAGCACTCAGGAGGCAGGTGGATCTTTGTGAGTTCAAAGCCAGCCTGGTCTACATAGTGAGTTCCAGGCCAGCTGCAGCTACAGGGAGACCCTGTCTCAAAAAAAAACAAAAAACAAAACAAAAAAAAAAACGAGAAAAAAATATTAAAAGTAGGAATTAGTTCAGGGCATGGAAAAGCCCAAAGCATTCTTTTGGATAGTAAGCAAATAATGAAACTCTAATATACTAGAAATGACTTAACCCTTGCCATATATGGTTGTCAAGAGTAAAGAGTTTCCTTGCAGAGAGGTTTGTTTTATTCATAACTCAGTTTCACACATGAGCTCATACATGACAGTGTGTATGCAACGACTTGACTCTTAGGGCTTCCTCAGAACCAGCCAACCTTTTAAATTACATATGAATCCAGTAAAGATTTCTGCCAGCACAAGGTCATTTTGGAGTATGGTAGTCAGTGACCCTCACATGAGGAAGGGATAGAGCTCACTAATATCAGAATCATCTATGAGGTTTTTCCAACCTGTATCCCTCCCAGCCCCTCGTATTTTGATAATTCCATAAGTGTGGAGTGATAGAGGAAGGAAAAAAGCTTTAGTTTGTAACAGCCCTATGTATTATCAGGACAGAACCTACACACATACTTCAACCCATCCTGCCACCTAACCAAGAAGGACAAGCAGCATTCTTAGCTGAGTTCCCCGAGGGCAATTTTGACGCTTAATTTCTTAGAGATGAAATCGCAGATGAGACTTAAGGTGATTGGCCCCCAGAAGCAATTGGACCAAAACCAGGTGTGTAGGGGAGAAAGAGGAAGGGGCTGACGGTTCACAAGATTCATCTCTGATTGTGAGCTCAGGGCACTCTTAGACTCTTTCTGTGTTGGCTTACAGTTCTGAATTGCTTACCAAGTTGAGTACACACACGCAACTTTGCTTAAAATTTCATTTAGAATCAAAAAAGCACTCCCATTTCTAAGTCTTGGGGAAAGTAATGCTTAGTGATTTTAAAACAGTTTTAGGTCATCTGAGGTCCTTTTATCAGCGTGAGGTCCCACTTACTGGTGTAGTTTGCAGATGTGTCCAGCATTGGTTGAGCAAGGGCTGCTGAGAACATACTTATCTGATACCAGTATTTTCATCAGAGTTCCATGTTTCTAAATAGCCTGCAATCACTAGAGAACTCTTCTCCAATGAGACAGTGAATCTAACAAGATAAACAAGGGCATGACCCCTTAGAGTAATCTGCAACTTTCATTGCATCTTATCTCCAGTCCAGGCAACCTTGAGTTTAACCTGAGGCCCTGGGCACTGGCTATGATGAAGTTTCTTTCTGGGAATTTGTTCCAATTCCCTGAGTCAAAATGGTGTTTGTTCTCCTCCACTAAGGAAAAGCCTCAACTTCTTTGGTCTACCTGAAGTTGGCAAGCTGCAGCCCCGTGAGCCATGTAGTTGCTTTTATAAATAAAACTTTATGGAAACAATCACAACTATTGGTTTATGCATTATTATGGCTGCTTTTGCCTCACAATAGCCAGGCTGATTTGTGAAGACAGAGAAATTATGGTTTTCAAAGCCTAAAATAACTCCAATCTAACCTTTTATTTATGTTTATTTTTACAGTTAACAAGGAATCAAAATTTTTATTTATATCTGAAAAATCAACTTGTTTATTTGCATTAAGACACCAGAATAGGAATATAATGGCTTCACAAAGAGGGGCCTTACCTCTGTCCTGAAATTCATTGATTCTATGTAAAGAAAAAAAAATCTCTAGACAAATTACTGCTACTCTTCCATTTTTTTAACCTTTTAAAAAATTGTTTGACAGTTTCATACATTTTCACAATGGATTTTAACTGTTTTCACTGTGCAATCCCCTTCCACTGCATTGATCAAGCTGGCTTTATTCCAGACATGCAAGGATGGCTTAACAGATATAAATCACTAGCCTTTTTTTTTGGTTTGCTGACTAAGCCTTGACTTACAGGCTCAGTCTGTCTTTGAAGCACTTTGCTGTGAGTTCTCTGAAGGCAGGAGCATGCTTTGTATACAGTCAGGCCACTGCGTTTCTCTGAACTCCTGAAAAGTGGTAGGTTCCACAAAAAATGTATTGAATACATCTAAAGAATTCAAACCATTCATTTTTAAAGCATTCTGATAAACTGCTTGAAGCACAGAAAAATAACCTAGTCATTCTAGCCTGGTACTTTCATGAGAAGCTGAAGAAAACACTCACTGAGTTGGAAGCACCTTGTTTCAGGTACCACCCAGAGTCACCAGCCAGCCCATAATCATGTTCTGGTCCTCACCCCCATGACAGTTTTGTCTTGTCAGATGACATCTCAGCGCCACACATTCTGCAACAGTCACGTCTCCCTTTCCTGTTTGGGCCACTTATTGCTTTCAGCCATGTCCCAGCTTTGGAATGCTTTGATGCTCTGGAGGGATTTCTCACAAAATCTCTGTGAGGTGGGGAATGAGATATCAGTATCCTAGTTTGCTTTTTATTGCTGTGATGCACACTGTGACAAATACAACCTGGGGAAGAAAGCGTCTATTTTAGCTTACAGTACAGTCAGTCCTTCTTTGAGGGAAGCCAGGGCAGGAGCTCAAGCAGGGACTTGGTGGTAGGAACTGAAGCACAGACCATTGGGAAACACTGTTTACTGGCTTGCTCGTCTGGCCTGTGATCATTCTGCTTTCTTTTAAAAGATATTTTATTTATTATTTTTATTCTCCATGTATGAGTGTGCTGCATGCATGTGTGTAAGTGCACTCATGTTGTGCAATACCTACAGAGGTCAGAAGAGGGTGTCAGATCCCGTGGAACTGGAGTTATGGATGGCTGTTAGCTGCCATGTGGATACTGGGAATTGAACCTGGGTCCTCTGCCATCTCCCTAGTCCTGGGTTCCTGAGCCATCTCTCTAGTCCCAGTCTGCTTTCTTTCTCAACCCCATACCACACACCCAGGGGTTTAAAACTCCTTGATGGGGAGCTTCAGAAGGAGAAGATGATAGAGAGTTGTTCTTGGAGAATTAAGAGTATTCTCATTTGATTTGCCTATCTGTCTCCAAAAAGGGAATTAAACATCCGTGAGCCCTTCACACTGGGTGACGGGAACAGTAAATTCCTGATGACTGATCAGTTAAAGGACACTGAGTCAGCTGCATAGTTCCGCTCTTCCCATGGAGCCCGTCTTATCGCCTTCTTGTTAGTTTTCCCCTCACTAAATTACCTTTAATAGGAGCATAACTTTTCTTCCTCATATCATGTTTTGCAGATAAGCTTTTTCTAGACCAAAGGGCATCATCTTTGCTTGATAAGATGGCTTTTTCTCACCAGCTGCTCATCTTTCCCTTTGACCCTTGGATTTTGTTTTCCTCATACACAAAGAGCTGGCTGGGTAGAATGACAGATGTACTTGGCATTTAAGAAGACATACCTTGAATATCATCCTATAATCCAGAAATTCTCATTCTTCTTGTTTGTAATACTTGCCTCAGATTTACTATTTTCCCTTTTTTCTAAAAGTTTTACACATGTATACACTCTCTCATACAAGTACATGAAGTACTTGTAATGCATATATTTAATGAAATATATGTATATTTATAGCATAGATATTTTATGGTAATTCCAATAATTTTACATACCATTATATAAACCACTATATTATGATATCAATTAATTAGTATAAATGATCAATAATATCGGTCATTTATATAAGATATATGTAAATTGAAGACACAATATTTCCCTCTTTGCTCTGAGGATTGTGGCAAAGAGGAAATAATTTGACTGAATGGGACTTGAAGGTTCTCTCCTGTACAGGTTATGAGCACAATTTCAACACCTATGAAGACAACATCATCACAGACCTCAACACACCCTACGATTATGAGTCCTTGATGCACTATTCACCATTTTCATTTAACAAGAATGCCAGTGTCCCTACCATCACAGCCAAGATCCCCGAGTTCAATGCCATCATTGGGCAGCGCCTGGATTTCAGTGTCATTGATTTAGAGAGATTGAACCGAATGTACAACTGTAGTAAGTACTCCTATGCCCGGGGACTAGGTGAACAAGTCACCCAGTCCTTTACACCTCCCATTAATTTTCTTGAATGCTCTGGCCAAGAGGTCATAGACAAACTAAATAACCTTAAGCATAGTCTCTTTAGAAAAAGGCATAGCACCTCTCTCATAGGATGGTTGTGAAAAGTAGTTGTGTAATGTGTTTTGTAAAGCAAAAGTATTGGGCAGATGTAAGAAACTGCTATAGTCAAATGCCATTGGCTTTCATTAAAGGATGTATAATTATGTACAGGTCAAGCTAAACAGGGCTTGAAAGTATGTTCTATCCTGGAAAGCTCTTTACTCAGGTTATTCTTAAATCATCCTAAGTCTTAGATGGGGGGTATTTTCTAGGGTGAATCAGTAGTCTGTGGATACACTATCTTCAATTATGCTCACCAGATATTTACAGGGGACCGCCCAAGTACAAAGCCCAGTATGATAGCTACTTTGTTCTTGACCTAGAGTTCATAATTTGCCTCTATCTAGCAAGGACTTACAGGTCTTTATCTTGGTTCTGAGATAGACATCCCTGTGCCTAAGTTCTAAGATCTAACTGATGACAGTAGTTTCTGCATTCAAGAAACAGTCAAGAAAATAAAAGGCTTATGACTCTGTTCTGCTTAAACAGTGGTGTTTTAGTGGCTTAGGATATCAACTATTTGGAATGATATGCCCTACAGCTTTTAATCTTGTGACAAAAATGCCGTTTGCAGCCACAACTCATACCCTGTTGGACAACTGTGCTTTTGAGAAGACAAACATCTGTGGGATGATCCAGGGGACCAGAGATGATGCTGACTGGGTCCATGAGGACAGCAGTCAGCCTGGAAAAGTGGATCACACCTTGGTGGGACAGTGCACAGGTTGGTGATAACTGAAAGTCAACAACACACTGAGGTGCTGAATGGCAGCCAATAAGTTTTCTTTCTCAGGATGTAAGCTATCAAATCTAAAAATATGAACAAGGACAAAGAACATTTCTTGTATCTTAATTGTTAATCCAATAGAAAGCATCCAGGTTCTAGGAATGCAAGAGACAGTTGTTGCACATGTTTCACATAATAACTCTTCACTCATGCACATGCTAGCAACCTAACTGAAATCAGTCACATGCAGAGTAAAAGACATGAAAGCAGGAGAGGAACTTGTTGGGAAGAGGGAGTTCAGTGGGAATGGAGGGATAAGAAAAGGGGATAGAGGGTGCGTGTGGTCAGAGCACATTACAAGGGAATAGAGGGCACATATGGTCAAATTACATTGTATTGTCAAAGAATACATTTTAAATTATTTGAAAATAAAGTAAAAATAAAACAGTTGTATTTTTTCAATGACAGACCTGTGGTTGATAACATGCCTTATAAATGGGGGTAGTTTTTCTTTTTTAAAAAATAAATAATTTATTGAGAATTTCATAAAGTTACAGGACATTTTGAGAGATGTTCTATAGTCCCCTGGAACTTAGTCAACCTTAGAAGGCAAGTGGCAAAAACTGTCCTTTAAGTCCCTCTGACCACATTAGTATAGGCCTCAAACTATGGCTACTATACCTCCAATAAGATTAGTTCCACCATTCTGGTATTTTAATAACCATGCTTGGGTAAAAAAAACAAATATTCTCAGATAAACCTTGACTAGATATATATTTTGTTCCTTAAACTACTAGACTGAACTATGACCATAGACATTTTAAAATTATGTGTATATTATTTTTGTCTCATCCTTTATATATCATAACAAACCTACACAGACCTTCATCACTTGCTTAGGTTTTCTCATTTTTTCTGTCTATTTTGGAAAATATCTCCATTCCCATATCCTTTTAACATCTTTTACATTCTCATTTTCTTTTTTTTTTTCAAAATTTATGAGACATAATAACATTAACAAATAAATTTTCCATCTGTTGTGGACTTCTTTTCCTGGGCATGCTAAACAATGCTTATTCCCTTTTGAGGTTCTAGTGTCAAGCCAATGTTTGCTTAAAATTTTATTGGGGAACCAATGAGTTTATTGGGCTTACTTACAGAGCTAACTGAGGGGTTGCTGAGGTCTATGTAAGACCTGAGTATGTGCACGCTGGAAAGCCTTTACACAGCATGGGTCATGCCTTCTCTTCCTAGCCTTCCCCAGATCGTATATATTAGCCTTCCCCAAATCCAGGAGGCCATGGGGTATTAGGACCAAATTACAGACAGATGGCTGGGAAGAGTGACTGGATAATGCGGTGAGGATCCAATGACCCTGCTTGACCTTCCTTTAATGAATGAGCACAACTGTCAACAAGCCCAATTGTGACGATGTTTAGTGATCAGGCTCAGCTGAAGTTGTGATGATGGTAGTTATTTCATGCATAGGGGACTGCTGTATAGCGTCATCTTTTTAAGGACCCGGATTTAAAGGATTTGGTGCTAGGAGCCACATATGAGGGAGAACATACGTCGTTTGTTTTTCTGAATCTGAGTTACTTAGTATCACAGTTTCTAGATCCGTTCATTTACCTGCAAATTTCATTATTTCATCTTTCTTTACTGCTGAATAGAACTCCATTGTGTACATATACCACATTTTCATTATGCACTTGTCAGTTGAGGGACACTTAGGTTGCTTCCATCTCTTAGCTATCATGAAAAGAGCAGCAACAAACATGGATGTATAAGGGTCTCTGCAATAGCATGAGTTCTTTGGATATATCCCAAGGAGTGGTATAACTGGGTCAAATAGTAAGTTCATTTGTAGTTTTAAGAGTTCTCCACACTACTTTCCATGGGGGTTGAACAAGTTTGCAGCTCCACCAGCAATGGATGACTGTTCCTCTTTCCCCACATCCTCTCCAACATTTGGTATCATTTGTTCTCTTCACCTTAGGCAGTCTGACCAGGGTAAGATGATACCTTA